CTTCCTGTGCTGAAAGACACAGACCTTTAAGAGAACACTGCATTTAACCTAAAGCCATAGAGAAGACTTCCAAAATTAATTAGCAACAGTAAAATGACGAGTGTGTAGTTTAATTAGAAGTGTGTGATGTCACAAGGTAGAAAACTTAAAGTTTTAGAAGATAGAAATATATAGAGAAAAAGATAAAAGTTTTAAAGCAGAAGCTAGTCCTTCATCTTCTTTACATTCTTCACCACCTTCTCCTCCTTCTTCTTCACCTTCTTCTCCTTTTTCTTCACCTTCTCTTTTTTCTTCACCTTCTTCTCCTCCTTCAGAAGTTTAAGTAGTGTTATATAACTAGACAAAAACCATCCACATTACAGGACATGAATAATTAGTTATTAAGTTAAAATAATTTGTGTCATTTCTTAATTCGATAATTTAACCCTAAAAAACCTCACAGAAAAGAAATAATTATCCGTTTTGTAACTTATTAGTGAAATGCTATAGAACTCACAACGTAGAAAACTATAATATAAATAAAAATAATAAACATCTAAATCTAAATACAAAATTCCATCTCAAACACATCAATCCCAACCTTATCAAAACAAAACAAAAAAACCCCAACCCGGTATTTAATGAGCCAGGTCTCATCCCCCATCCTATCAGTTGCTCCTGGGTGCTGGAATTTTGGGAAGCTGCTCCCAGGAGATCTGAGTGTGATTTATCTCTTCCCAACTCCAGGTTTGCTCATGCCCTTGACCAGTTCCTGAGATCAAAGCTGATGATTGATTTCAACATTGTCCCTGGAGTTTTAACCTGGCCAGGAACATCTGAGGTCATTGAGGAGACAAGAATAGAGAATTTACAGGTAATGTTTAAAAATAAAACAACAGAAAATTGTCCTGCTCCTCCCTGCAAGGGAGATGTGGGCTGAAGGAAGGATGGTGAGCAGCAGGGCAGGACTTGTGTCAGGCTCTGAGACCTCCAAGTGGCCTGGCTGAGCTGGCAGGACACTGAGGCTGGAATTCCAGATGGGTAAATTCCAGTTCTCCTTTTTCCACAACGGGAACTGTGCAGTTTACACAGCCAGTGGGTTTGGAGAGCAAGCTTTGTTGGAGCTGACCAGGTGAAATTATTTTCCATCACTTTTTGTTGATCATTATTTGTTTATTATTTTTTATCATTTTTCCATTTATCCATTTATCATTTTTTATTTATCTTTTTTTTTTTAATTTATCATTTTTTTCATTTATTATTTTTTTCATTTATCATTTATCAGAATTGTCCAGGCAGGGCCTGAGTGTGGCACTCAGTGACAAAGTGGGGATGTGTCACAGGTTGGATTTTGGAGCTCTTTTCCAGCCCCAGTGATTTTGGGATGATGTTTGATTCCCTTCTCTGCACACTCCCAAACTTTCAGGTGTGAACACACAGAGAATTCTGGGGAGAACCAGTTAAAAATCTGAGCTGGCAAAAACAGGAAGCTGAAAATTTAAATCCAAACCAGGAGACTCTGACCACGTAGTCCCTGTATAAAACATTGGGATTTACGTGGTAAAATTCCCTCTTTGGAAAAATCTGTCACCAGGAGCTGCTCTGCACAGAGGCATTTTTGACACAGCAGAGTTTGGAAGGTTTTTCACTTGGCCAAACTCCCCAGACCTGCAGAGTTTGTGGTAGAATATTTCTGGGCTTTTTCCTGCCAAAAACTGCCCTCAGGATTTCTCAAGAGACGATCTGGATCCATCCATCCATGGTCTGGGACCTGGGATAATGCAGATATCTGCCAGGCTTTGTCAGGGCTCTGTTCTTGGTGGTGTTTTATTAATCTGGGCTCACTTCTGATGCCCTGTGAAGGCTGAGCTGGAGCAGAACTGGGCAGAGCTACAGAATAAAGCAGGGATTTATTAAAGGATCTCCTCCATTGATCCACCTTGGGCAGCACCAGAGCCCAGCCAGGGCTGCACCCAAATGACCCAAAATGGCCCCAAAATGCACGAGCGCTCCCGGGGGCTCTCCCTGGGATCAGTTCTGCTCCATTGGCACCTTGGAGTTCATTGTCCCATTCCAGCTTTAGCCCAGGCAGTCCCACCCTGCTTGTTTTTCTCTCTCCAGCCCACGCTGTTTGTGCTCCTGGGCTGAGATTTGGATCATTTGTCCTTGGTGCCCAGCTGGAGCAGGAATTGTTTTGTCTCCTGCTCTGTGCACAGAGCTCACCATCCCATAATATGAGGCCCAGACCCATACATTAAAGCAACACAGAACCTGAAACATAGAAAAAGAAAAGCTCAAACCTGAGGCATCAGCTCCAGCCCTGCCCTGATTTCACATGAAGTCACTCTGATGTTTTTCCCTCAGAAATTATCCTGGGATACCTCCCTGGTTCCCCCAGGGCCAGCTCTGAGCTTGATCCTTAGCCCAGGTGCCGGGTGAGACACTCTGCAATCTTCAGAAGTGACCAAAAAACACCATTTTTACCCTGTATTCTGTTTTATCATTTGGGCAGTGATAAAACCCTTTGGAATGGGGCAGCATGTGGGACACTGGCTCAGGACAAACCTGCATTTTTCTGGGTGTATGAAGCTGTGAGCTCTCAGCTTCAAGCAATCCCTGGAATATTTTGGCTATAAAAGGCCAATCTTGCCTGGCTTTCCTAGAAAAGAGTTGTTTTTTTGGGATTAGTCACTGCTTTGCCTAGAGGGATGTGTTTCACTGCAGGAGTTTGTGAGTAGAAGTTGAATTTTTTCCTGGTTCTGCGCACTTTGTCTCTGATAATTCTGTGTTTTCCAGATGGCTTTAAAGAATTATATTGAGGAATGTAAATTCCCTCCAGAGCCAGATGCTGTTTGTCGATATCAGCAGTGCCATGGCTACTCCAAAATCCAAATATATTTTACAGACCCAGACTTTAAGGTAAAGTTTCAGTGGAGAAAGGTTTGAGAAGTAAAACTTGATGTATTTTCTCCCCCTTTTTATATAATCTGCTAAGTTAAACAGTGCTTTTTGTTGGTTTTTTTTTTTTTTAATGTTCCATTTTTGCCATTTTTAGGGTTTTATACGTGTTATTTGCTGTCAGCAGTGCAGAGTGGAATTCCACATCAGCTGCTGGAAAAAGCTGAAAACAGCAAGCTACAGTGATAAAAATGATAAGGTGAGGCCTTTGCCAGGCTGGAATTTTTAATTTTATTGAGATATTTAAAGGAATTTCACAAAATTCAGCAGCCAGGATAAAATAAGGGGAAATCTGGAACTCCTAAAATGATTCTGAAAGTTGACTCTTGGGTGTGAAGTTGGAGGAGGGAGTAAAAGAATAAAAGATGCCACAGATTTTTCCATGATTTTTGATTTTCAGCCCTTCCCAAGTCAGCATCCAGGAAGAATTTGGGACTGTGCTTCCTTTAACTACTTTGGTCACCTCAAATTGAGAAATTAATTTGTGCAGGGATGTAAATGATGTGTGGATTTAAATGCCTTTCTTGTGTGTATCCTTTTCTCCTGCAGGATTTCCTTAAGGAAATGTGTTTTACTCCTGATTGTAAAGGCCTTATTTCAAAAATAGTTATTTTCAGTTCTTCTGGGCTGGTAAAATGTGATGTAAGTATGGTCATATTTTATATGAGATTAATTAGAATATTAAGGGGGATAAAGTGAAGTGGGAATGTAACAGCAAGAAAAAGATTGTGCTGCCTTCACAGAATGTGGGGATTATTTAGGAATATGAATTTCCTGTGGTGTTGGTCACCTTGTCATGGATGGGAATGGAATTCCATGAATTCAATAATCCTTCAGGAGTAACTCCCCAGAGGCACAGGGAGATGGAGAATCCTGCCCAGATGATGAGTTCTCCCCAGGGCAATACTGACCTGAGAGAAGCAGAAATTATTGTGGGGGCTGTTATGTTATAACCCAAATTTAATTCCTGTCCTATCCCTTATTTTGGTAGTTTGAACAAAAAATTCCAAAACTCAAGGAACCACCAAAGGCCTCTATAAAACAGAAATGTTCAAGGTAAGATTTGTCCTGGTTGAATCGATTTGAGAGCAAAGCAGGAGAGATTTTAATGCCTTTTTACAAATATTTTGGGAAGTTATCCTTGCCCTTTGGCCTGATAAACCAAAAAAAATCTGATAAAATCCATTATAATCCAATGGTAAAAGCATTTAAATTGTTCCACAGAATTTATTTTGAGTGAATGTTTAGAAAGTGTAAATAAAAATGTATTTTATGCTGCGGCTGTAGTCACTGCTACCCAGACATTTGACATAACTGAGTTTGCAATTTTTTGGTCAAGTAACCTTTAAATAATGAGGAATTAAGCTGAGAGGACAAGCACAACAGATTTTTAAAAAGGAAAGGAATAAAATGTTAATATTTGGTTGAAAATGCTGAGTCATAAATTAAGAATAAGAATAATGAAGCCAATCCTAATTTAGACATCTTTAATGGGAGTAAAAGTTGTTACATCTTGAGGAAATCAATATTTTTATGAAGTTTTGTGGTCTCTGCTTCTAAATGAAGACCACTTTTATTCCATTTGTACTTTCCAGTGTGATATTTTCACCTCAGTTAACGTTTGAATTGCTTTTTGCAGTCTTAGGAAGATAAAAATGAAGCAAGAAAAAAAAGAGCGACGAAAACGAGCGCGAGAAGAGGCCAGGAATCGTGCCAGGACAAAAGCTGAGGAACAGCAGGAGGGAAGTGCCCAAGCCCAGTTCAGCCAGCACAGGGGTAGGTGGGAATGGGGAATTTTTGGGGCTGATTTCTCTGTGGAAATCAGAATGGGAGTTTTGGGGTCCCCATCCCAAGGGAGGAGGTGGCACCCGGAGCTCTGGGCTGGGACAAAGTGGGGACAAAGGTTGGGTTTGGTGATCTTGGAGGGCTTTTCCAGCCTCAGTTCTCCTGGGATTTTGGGATTCTGAGTTCGCACAGAGCAGTGGAATCAGCATTCTGAAAAAGCCCAGTTCAGTCACAGCAGAATCCTAACACTGAGCATCAACACTGTGAAAAATCTGCATTTTTACTTCAGACAAATTTTATTTAGCTTCTGTTTTTATTGTCCAAACTGCTGGGGGATGTCACTGCGTGGTTTCATCCCTGTGTGCTTTTGTTCCTTGTTGAAAACCGTGATTTTTTTCCTTGGCTGGTTCCTGCAGAATCAGCCTGGAGGGGGAAGAGGCTCCAATTCTGAGTGAATCCACTGAAAAGGGATTTCAGGAAAAGCACCTTGGGACACTGTTAGGGAAGAAAATATCTCAAATAAAGACAGGCTGATCTCCTACCTGCAGTGACTTGAAAAGTACATTTCAGATGATTGGGGAAAATAAAAATATTTCAGTCTGTGGCTTTGTAGGCATTTAAAACTTCAGCTTTTCCTTGCTGGATGTTGGCTGCTCCACATTCCGGAGCTGGGAACTTCCCCGGCAGCTTCTCAGGGCAAAGGAAAAGGGGGAATGATGGAAATTTTATTTTTTTGTCTGTATTATCAGCTTGGGATATAATTAATTTATAATTTCTTAGGATTCCCTGTTAAATACTCTGGGTGTATCTTTTAATCCCATGCTTGGTGTTCTCTGGGTGCCTGTTCCCTTTTCAATGGCATAGCCTGAAAAATTTGGGAGATTTTGGCTTCCCTGTGGATTTGTAAAATCATTTATTATTACAATTTCATTTTTTTCCTGTTTGCTTTGTTTTAAATCTTTGCTCTCTCATTTTCTCTGGCTCATCTGTAATTGTGATCCTTGGAATCAATGCAGGTCATTGTGACCTCATCCTAAAATCTGGGCAAGGTGATTGTTTCCTTAAATAAAAATTTAAACCAACTTTGGATCAAATTCCTAATGTTCAGGATGTATGGAAGAAAAGAATTCTTTAAACCCTGTAAATTCAGTGTAAAACAAACAATTAGAAACAACACTTAACCCAAATGATCTGTGCTTTGCAAGTTGGTTTAAGTTTTTTAAGCTTTGTGAAGTTTTTTAAGCTTTGTGAAGTTTTTTAAGCTTTGTAAAGTTTTTTAAGCTTTTTAAAGTTGCTTTTTAAGTTGGAATTGTGGTAAGGATGATGAAATCTTGCTTATTACTAATGCTCAGGATGTATGGAAGAAAAGAATTCTTCAAACCTGTAAATTCAGTGTAAAACAAACAACCACTTAATCCTAATTAACTGTGCTTTATAAGTTAAAGTTTTTTAAGCTTTGTGAAGTTTTTTAAGCTTTGTGAAGTTTTTTAAGCTTTGTAAAGTTTTTTAAGCTTTTTAAAGTTGCTTTTTAAGTTGGAATTGTGGTAAGGATGATGAAATCTTGCTTATTCCTAATGCTCAGGATGTAGGGAAGAAAAGAATTCTTCAAACCTGTAAATTCAGTGTAAAACAAACAACCACTTAACCCTAATTAACTGTGCTTTATAAGTTAAAGTTTTTTAAGCTTTGTGAAGTTTTTTAAGCTTTGTGAAGTTTTTTAAGCTTTGTAAAGTTTTTTAAGCTTTTAAAAGTTGCTTTTTAAGTTGGAATTTTGGTAAGGATGATGAAATCTTGCTTATTCCTAATGTATGGAAGAAAAGAATTCTTCAAACCTGTAAATTCAGTGTAAAACAAACAACCACTTAACCCTAATTAACTGTGCTTTATAAGTTAAAGTTTTTTAAGCTTTGTAAAGGTTTTTAAGCTTTTTAAAGTTGCTTTTTAAGTTGGAATTGTGGTAAGGATGATGAAATCTTGCTTATTCCTAATGCTCAGGATGTATGGAAGGAAAGAATTCTTCAAACCTGTAAATTCAGTGTAAAACAAACAACCACTTAACCCTAATTAACTGTGCTTTATAAGTTAAAGTTTTTTAAGCTTTTTAAGTTGGAATTGTGGTAAGGACAATGAAATCGTGCTCATTTTGTGCTTTTTAAGTTGCATATTTTGAATTTTCCAGGTTCTGGCCAGGATTTATACGCTGGGGACTTGGTCCTGCAGCACATCCAGCGCAATTCCGAGCAGATCAAAGCTGCTATCCCCGACTCTGCCAAATTAATAAAGGAACTCCTGGCCTGGGGTGTGATCAGAGAGGAGGATTTAATCTCACATTCCCAAAGGAGCAGCACTCCCCAGGAGGTGCTGGAGCAGCTGCTCAGCTCCCTGATCCAGCAGAAACGCCGGGTGCAGGGCCGGGGCTTCCTGCATGTCCTGAGCCAGCTGGGACAGGTGGATCCCAAAGTTCACAAGTGGCTGCAGCACCTGGACAGCCTGGGTGGGTCCTGTGGGCAGCACAGAAAATTCTCTTTATTCCTCCTTTGAAACAGCAAAGTCACGCTTCTCCTCTTCGTCCTATCCCTGATTTCCAGAGGGGAGCACGGCTTGGGTGTTGGATGGGCTTAAATGCTGGTGTTTGTAGCAGTAACGTGGGTTTGGAGTGTAAAGAATGGTGGGTTTTGCCATTCAACTCGGAAATAATTTCATGTTGGTGCTCTGCAGTTTCCTGTTGGGTTTATATTGGGAAAAAAAGTGGAATTTTGGAGTTTGGGGTTCTTTGTTTTGCTTTATCACATCCATATCCTTCCAAGGATTCATAGAATTCTTAGCCTCCTCTTCTCTTTTCTCTTCTTTTCTCTTCTTTTCTCTTCTTTTCTCTTCTTTTCTCTTCTTTTCTCTTCTTTTATCTTTTTTTCTTTTTTCTCTTTTTTTCTCTTTTTTCTCTTTTTTCTTTTTTCTCTTTTTTTCTCTTTTTTCTCTTTTTCTCTTTTTCTCGTTTTTTCTCTTTTTTCTCTTTTTTCTCTTTTTTCTCTTTTTTCTCGTTTTCTCGTTTTCTCGTTTTTTCTCTTTTTTTCTCTTTTTTTCTCTTTTTTTCTCTTTTTTCTCTTTTTTTCTCTTTTTTTCTCTTTTCTCTTTTTTCTCTTTTTTCTTTTTTTTCTCTTCTCTTCTCTTCTCTTCTCTTCTCTTCTCTTCTCTTCTCTTCTCTTCTCTTCTCTTCTCTTCTCTTCTCTTCTCTTCTCTTCTCTTCTCTCTTCTCTTCTTTTCTCTTTTCTCTTTTCTCTTTTCTCTTTTCTCTTTTCTCTTTTCTCTTTTCTCTTTTCTCTTCTCTTTCTCTTCCCCCTTTCCCCCTTTCTTTCCCCCTGATCCAAATCTTATTATTATTATTATACAAATAATAATTGCTGAGAGTAGAATTTTCATCGACACCATTCCTCATTTTTTGTTTGCATTTCCAAGACTCAAAAGCCCTCACATCATCTGCACATTGAATTTCTAGACCAAACTCTTGCCCTTTGAAGAGGAATATCACATTTTAAGCACTAATAATCTAAGGCTGGAATGAAATATTGGGATTTTTTTCCCATCTTTTTCAGGTCTGACAGCTACAAAAAACTTTCTCCTTCAATATGGCCAAGTTCTGCAAGAGCTTGACTATTCTATTTTAACCCCACTGTGGAACCGGAAATATGGCAGTAAATTTGATTATGTGGCAGCTGATGGTGAAAAGCAAAAAATTTGTGATTATTTCCTCACCCCTCCCCTAGAGAAATCCCGTTGTTTTATATGGCTTTTAGAAGAAAACAGAGAACATTTCCCACACCTCCATCAAGCTTTAGATGATTTCTTTGATAAAATGGGTGAGTAGGCAATGGGATCAAACATTTCCAATAAAAATCATTTTTATTATGCAGTTTTTAACATTAAAGTTCTGCAGCTGCAGTTTTGGAGCTGCTTTGGTGGTGTTGGATAAAGGGTTAGTACTGGAATTCTTGTGATTTCACAGTTAAATTGTAAATTAATGAAAATATGGTTATTTCCATCAATCACCATAACTTTTATCCTTTCAACAGATGATCCAACTATTATATTAAAGAAGCAGGGAAATGAGAATTTACCAGTAAGTGAACTTCATTTCTCTTTGCCCTCAGCTCAGAAAGAACTTTTTGCTATTTCAGAAAACGAAATATTTTGCAGCCTTGTCCTCCAGACTTACTGGAGTTTTAATCTCTCATTTTAGCTCCCTTTTCTTAAATTATTTGGTATTCAAATTATTTAATAATAATTCTTCAAGTGTGCCTCATTCCGAAGCACTTTTTGATTGGTGTCATCATTAAAATCCATCCCAATTGGCAGAAATAGATTTTGGATTTCAGTTAATTCTGTGTTTGAGCCACCCTCATTTGAAGTTCTTGTCTGGAGTTAAATTTACCTTTAAAAAACCAGATCTACCTTTGATTCAGAATAAAGCTTTAAATTAATGTACATCTTAATAAAATGCAGCATTTGTAATGTGCATTAATAAAATGAAGAATTTTAAATGTACACATCAATAAAATGCAGACCTTTTTATTGTGCACATTAATAAAGGCAAAGATTTAAATGTGCATATTAATAAAATGCAGAGTTTATATGCACATTAATAAAATGCAAAATTTTAAATGTACATATTAATAAAATGTAGAATTTTTAAGTGTACAGTAGTAAAATGCAGAATTTTTAATGTACATGGTAGTAAAATGCAGATTTTTTAATGTGCACATTAATAAAATTCAGATTTTTAATGTGCATGTTAATGAAATGCAGATGTTAAAAAATTGATACATTTATGAAATGCAGAATTTTTAATGTACACATTAATAAAATTCAGATTTTTAATGAAATGCAGATTTTTTTTTCTTTTGCATTTCATGAATTGGGAAAATCCAAGAATGAGATGAAAACCAGCACAAGAAAACTCCTTTGATTTCAGTGTTACAGTCTAAAATAACCTGTAATTATTCTGTTCTTGTGTAACCCAAATCCTGCTAAAGAATTTATTCAAATTTCAGTTCCTTCATCTTTGTCTTTCTTGGAAAACAGAAGCAACATTTGCCAATCCTGTGCCTTGATTTTATTTTCAGAATAATGAAATCAAAGTTAAAAACAAAAACAGGAAGAAGAATTTGAAAGATTCAAAGGTCAGTAACTTTGGGAGCTGCTAAAGCAGCTATTGCCAAGCAATATATAGCCTTATGTACTACTAAAATCCCACCTAAAAACTGGGAATTTTTTAGAATTTCTGGCATTCAGATGAATGGGAGCTGTTTTTATGAATACCTTGAGGAGACTCTTTACTGAAGCAGCTTTTCCTGAAGTAAAATTAAGCTGTTAAGACTTAAATGATACAGTTTTGTTAAAATTTATTAGTAGAAAAGTGATTTTTAAATTTATTTATGACGCAGTTTGGCTCTGACTGGAGGCACCTTCCGCTGGCTTAATTCTGAATTGTTGTTGTGGTTTTGATTTTTCATGTGGGAAGATGGGAATTCAGTGCAAAAATTCCATTTCATGCTCAGGAATGTTATTAATTATTCATTATTTTATAGATTTGATTGGGCTGTTATTCTGCCTGAATTTTCTGCTGCCTTTAAGAGGATTTTGCTTTATTGAAAACCTCATGCCCTCACCCTTTTATAATTTTTCTAGAATTTCAAGTGTAAACTTCATTTTTTTTCCTCAGGATTTATTTTTCTGATATAAGTGCATTTATTTGTGTATTTCTAAATTATTAGATAATAAAAATAAAGATAATTAAAATGTCTATTATGGTGTAGACAATAATAACCAGAGTTACATGTGGAATTAGGGATAACTTCTGCTTGTGGTAAATTTGTTACAGCCTCAAATTTAAAAGAAAATTTAATTAAATTTTGATGAAATTGGTAAAAAAAAAGAGGGATTTGGGGCTGAATATCCCAATTTCTTTTTCCCAAATAAGTTCGGAAGAAGGAATTAATAACTTTTATTAAGTATTTTCTTGCTGTGGCTTAGCACTGATAATTTTACCTGGAAATTTTCCAGTTCATAATGAACATGATGAATTTAAAGAACAAAATTCAGTGTAAATAAGTTATTCCTGGTCTTTGCAGTGGATTATTTTACATGACCTTTTTGTGAGGTAAAAACTAAAAGAAATCTGTTTTTAATAAGTCTATTTTAGTATTATCCAGTGGAGTTAGTACAGCACCACGAGAAGAAGATAAGATATTTATAGAAGAAAATAATCTGTGAGTACTTGATTCTGCTTTTATTGCCCAAACTCCAAATTGCTGGAGAAGAATCCCTTAAAAACACCAGGGATTTGAGTTTTTACTTCAAAAAACACTAATTTGATTTTTTTTTCCTGATTTTTAAGGTACAGAGATTTTCCAAATGAACCCTTTGCAATCCCAGAACATCTCCAGGAGCAACTGGAGGAATTCGAAGCTCGCTATAATATTTCAAATAGTAACAATTATCAAATGAATAATAATAATTATGCAGATCCAATCTCTGAGAATTTATATGAGTGAGTATAAATTTCTGTACTCAGCAGCTTCAGGGGGTTGAATTTTACTTTGTAATTTTAATAATTTTTTGGATGAATTGGAATCCTGGTGTGTGTAGTGTGTCTGTGAAGGAATGGATTAAATTAATGGATTTAAAAACTTTATTCAATTATAACAATTTGTTGTTTTGGTTTTTTTTTTAGTTATTTCTCTCAAATCTTGGATGAACATGGCCCTCTGGAAATTAATAATAAATTACTGGTTGGGGAATATGAAAATTTCCCTGAGGAAACTCGGAAGGTGGTGGAAGATTCGGGCGGCCTGGAGCCATTCCTGCTGAAATCCCTTCGTTTCATCATGATGGATAATCTGATTGGGCTGAGGAAGCACTCGGTGCTTTTTGAAGGAAATCCAAGCAGAAACGAGCCTGGCAATAATAAAAAGGAAAATCCACCTGGGGAATTCCAGAGGAATTCTTCCCACAGCAAGCTGCCTTTGAATCCCTACGCCCAGGAGTTCAAGCCTCTCTCGTACCCTTCAGATGCCCCTTCAGCAGCAGCTCCTGATTTAGCAGATTATCACACCCCTCAATATTTATCCTGCTCCTTCCCTGCCTCCTGCTCTCCTGGGAATCCTCTGGAAAATGGAGATGTTGATTCCATAGAAAACGAGGCTCCATTTTCGGGTGTTTTGCTGAAGGGCTTTGAGGCCGCGGGCCCGGCTGTGTTTTTGCCTCAGAGCTCCTGGGGTTATCAATATGGAATATTGCCCCTGGCACATGCCGGGTTTATTTATGCTCATCCTGCAGCACCTCGGGAAAATTGGGAATCTGCAATTCCACACGGGAAATATGGCCCTGAGGGATTTGTGCCAGGTGAAATCCAGGAGTACAAAGACCTTCAGGGCCAGTTGGAGAATTTGGATAAAAAGGATTCTGCTTTTCCAAATGGTTCGGGTCAAGCTGAGGAAGATAAATGTGTTAAAAAGGAAAAAGAAAAGAGAAAGAAAGCTGGGATAAAGAGCAACCCTCACACAAGGATGGTGGCTGTTCAGGTAAGGAAGGGAACAATGTTGGAGAGATTTTATAGCCACCAGGATGAGCAGAGGGATGGAGCAGCTCTGCTGGGAGGAAAGGCTGGCACAGCTGGGATTGTTCCCCTGCACAGGAGAAGCTTTGGGCTGAGCTCAGGGTGAGCCCCAGGAAACCTGGAGAGAGACAATTTCCAGGGCATGGAGGGACAGGGCACAGGGAATGGCTTCGAAGTGAAAAATTACAGGTTTAGATCAGATAATTAGGAAAAATTTCCTCCCTGTGAGGGTGGGCAGGGCTGGGATGGAATTCCCAGAGCAGATGTGGCTGCCCCTGGATCCCTGGCAGTGCCCAAGGCCAGGTTGGACACTGGGGCTGGAGCAGCCTGGGACAGTGGGAGGTGTCCCTGCCATGGCAGGGGTGGCACTGGTGGGATTTGAGGTCCCTTCCATGCCTAATTCCAGGTTTGCATCTCCTTTCTCCCCCTAGGAGATTCCTACTAAAAATCCATGTTGTATCCCTTGTGTAGAGCTCTTCCATTGCTGTGTTTTCATCCCAGACTTACAGATTCCAGGCCCAGTTAATGAACTAAAATTAAACTTTTCCACATGGCAGGAGTGGCACTAGATGAATTTTAAGGTCCCTTCCAACCCAAACCACTCAAGGTGCCTGAGAACTTTAAGTTGCTGCCACTCGCTGTGATCACTCATTTTTCATTTGTAATTCTTCAGAGCTGCTCACTGAATCTTGTTGTGCCTGAAGTTTTTGCAGCTCCTTTTTTTTCCTGGGTATCACAGAGGGAACTGCTGCACAAAAGTTTCAGCTTTACTTCAGAGGTGAAGCAAAGTCATTCTATTCTGTGTCAGTATTTTTTTCCTTTTGTGATGAGTTCAGGGATTTCTTTTCACTTCTACAACATTGGAGAATTTGTGGAGGAGGCTTAGGGGGGACCTCTCTGCCACTCCCTGACAGGAGGGTGAGACACTTCCTGCAAATCTTCATTTTTCAGATATTTAGAGCATGGCTTTATTTAAAGACTCACAGAACTCCCTGGAGTTGCTCATGGTCAATGAAACCAGGAAAAGAAAAAAAAAAATCCCTTTCAGAAACAACTCCATAATGTTTTCCCACATCATTTATAGGCCTGGATTAAGGTTGGATTTGTAAAATCCTCAGTGAGGTATAAAAGCTCCAAACCAGAGCAGTTCATCTGTGAACCGAGAACATTTTAAATCAAATTCTAATTTTGTTTGTTTGTTTGTTTTCTAGGTAAATCAGGAAGTTGCTGATAGGGAAACCAACACTTTGCCTTTTCATCCATTTGAAAATCAACAGGTAAGTTCCCTGCATCCTGATTTACATTTCTCCTGAGGGAAGTTAAAGGAATGCCCAAAAACTAAATAATGAAACGAAAGTTCTCTGAAAACAACAGGTTTTAACAGATATTTTGTATTTTGGGTTGTTTGGCTGTTTTTGTGTTCTGTGATGTTCTTGGCCCCACAAGGAAATTATTTTTGAGCTTCACTCTGATATTTGATATTGCTCTGATTGTTTTATTCTAAGTTAATTCAGATGTTGAATGTTTGTGAGGTATTTCCTCTCTCAAAACCTGGATTGGAATATTCCATTTGGGCACAGAGGCAGTTCAGAGTGGTGTTAAAGGCAGGTTTATGTCTGTATTAGGAGGTAAAAGTGAGAAAATGTCACCTTTGAACTGGGAACAGGCATAAATCGAACTGGTTTTGTAACTGATGAATTTCCAGGGGGACATTCTCCGTGTGGAAAAGGAGCACCAGGTGTTGCAAGAACAACTCAGAGAAGCAGAGGAGAAATTTGAGCAGTTACAGAGCAGGAGCTTGGAGGAAGTGGCTGCTTTGGAAGAGCTCCTGAAAAAAAGTGTTGAAGAGACTGAGGTAAAGCTTTTCCCCCTGCTCAGAGGTTGTGGAATCCCTGGGATCTCTGAGGTGTCCTTCCCACCCCAGCCATTCCAGCATTCCCTGATGGATCCCTGATTTGGGATTTGTAGCATAATTATGAATTTATTTTGTGTGTATATATATATATATATATACACACAAAATAAATTCATATATATATATATATATATATATATATATATACATAATATTCTAATATATAGATACATAGATAAAATATTCTAATTCTCATGAGATTATCTATGGGTGTTACTAAATTTGAATTGTTTGGTTAAAAAGTGTGAGAAAATCACAGTGATGTTTGGTTTTGTGTTTAGTATATTTTTAATATGAAGTGTTTTACTGAGGTGTGTTAGATTGTGTGTTACATCTGCTTGTTTATTGTTGCTATGTTTTATCTAAAGGATATCAGGTATTGGCTTAAAACCCTTAAAGGGTATTTTTTGGTATATAATTTTTAATTCATATTTATTGGTAGTGTAATAGTAATAGTTATTGTTGGTTTTGGTTGAGTTACTCTAGGAGTGTTGTAAGTAAGAGTCAAATATCCTCAGTCTGCTCCAACTTTTACCTGAATAAATTTTCACAATCAAAATTTATTTAAAATAAAATAAATTTACCTGAATAAATTTTCACAGTTCTCAGAAATGAAGTTTCCTTTTCTGCCTTCAGGTGTCCCAGAATGAGCTGGATTGGTTCCACCAGGACTCAGAAACACAAATGAAGAAATGGCAGCAGGAGAAGAAAGAAAATGGAGAGAATTTAAAAGCACTGAGGGGCACAGTTAAAAAACACTCAGACACCAATGAGAGGTAGAGTTGTAAATAGATTTACACCCCTCATTCTGACAGTCTAAAGGCTTCAGAACTCCTTAAGGAAATTTAATCCTTGGCTGTGAAACCAGACAGATATTTTCTCCCAGTGTAAGGCTGAAATATGGACATGGCCACTTTATTATTTTGATTTTTTTTTTTTTTTTTGCAAATTACAGGTAAACATCTAAAATAGCTTTGATATAACTGATTTAGCAGTAATTATCCTAATCAGATTTGACAATTCCTACTATTTAATGTTCTCTCTCAGTTTATAGAGCACGGACTTTGGTCCTTGAATGCCTTTGTTTTATCTATAGTCTTAAGTAGCTGGGGCAAAATCTCTCCTGAAAAATCATCAGCCTGGTTTTGTCTTAATCACTGCTTTATTAGCAATAAATTTAAATGTATTTAGAATAGAATCCCTGAGCAATTTGGGTTGGGATGGACCTTAAAGACCATTTATTTCCACTCCTCCCACTGTCCCAGGTTGCTCCAACTTGACCTTGGGCACTTCAAAGGCTGGAAATTCCATAATTCCTCAGGGATTCAACAGGATCTAAAACCTGCAGATTGTCCTGGTGGTTATAGAGGAACGTGTTCCATATTTGCTAATAAATATACTTAATAAATGTTTTATTCCTGTAGGTATTTGAAGGCCATTGATGACAAGGAAAAGCAATATAATACGTGTTTAAATACATTTCTGGAGACCAGGTAAAACTCACGTCCCTTTCAGCAATATTTACATTTTTCTGCTTCACTCTGGGTAAAGTCTTAGGGGAACATAAGCACTTTAACCTATAAATTAGTTTGCTTTTACTTGCCATGAGTAAATACTAATATTTAGACTAAAGAAAATCATACTCTCATACATTTCCCTTGATCCCATGACACTGAGTAGCTGTAAAAAAAACCCTCTAAAATGGCATAAATTTTAAATACTGCTCCGCTGTGAACATCCCTCAAATATTTCATTTCTTTTTCTTTCACAGTAATAAATTTGCTAATGATAAAAGCAAATTGGAAGAGCTGATAAAAAAGAGTCAAGTGAACAGCCAGGAGTGTGAGAAAAGAGCTGTTAAAGCAGAGGTACAACCAAAAAAATCCTTAAAAACCTTTTGTTGGAGCTGGGGTTGTGCTGATTGGAGGTGGGGAAATGTTTTCAAAGATGTTGATTAAATATTGGAAGTGCCAAAGATGGAAATTCCACTTGACAATTCCTCACTGTAGGAACAGAGTGTGCACTTTGTATCTCAAACTCTTGTTTAAATTCTTATTAAAATCTGGTTTAAGGTTTTATCCCTTTTTTTTCTTGATTTTTTATCTGTTTTTTGGGGGTTTTGTTTGTTTGGGGTGGTGGTGTTTTGTTTGGATTTTTTTTTTTATTATTTTATTTTATTTATTTATTTTTTTTTTTTTGTCACAGGTCTCAGTGCTCCAAACCTGGAAGGAAACTGAAATCTGGAAGCTCAAAGGCACCATTGCCAAGGCAGAAGGAAATCTCAGGATGCTGAGGGCACTGAGCAGGTACTGGGAGCTCCCACCAGGAATTCCACTACTCCTGGTTATTATTTACCATTTAATATTTATTCTATAGTCTATATCGACTATAGTTTTTATGTATTTACATTGAATATAGTTTTTATTTTATGTACTTATACTGAATATATAGTATTTATATGAAATATAATAATAATAAATAATAAATAGTAATAATAATATAAAAGTTTACAGAGTTGGGGGTAAATAATATTGCCCCAAACAAAATTCAGCTGGAAATTGAGTCTCATTCTTATCCTTGTGTGTTTCTGAGCTGGGAAAATCAGATTATATGGGCAATAATAATTCCAGTTATTCCTGCTCAGTATCCCTGGAAAAGGGCTGCAGTTTAACTGATTTTAACCCTTGAAATCTTTAACTTTAAATCCCTTAAAAACTTTAATTTGGGTTAATTGTTTTTGGGCCAACACCACTGGTCTTAAAAATAATGGGAATGTTGGAGTTTAACTGTAAATACTCAATTTTCCAGCAGCTCAGCTTCAGCAGCTCCTGTGTTGAAGTCCCAGATTGATTCCTGGGAAATATTTATTTCAAATGTCAAGAAACAACTGGAAAAAGTTGAGGTAAAACTTCATTTCTCTCCACCAGCTTCTCAGTTGAACTTTGGAAATGAAAGCATGAATAACATTGTATTTAATTGTTTATTAAAATGCCAGTAGCTTGTCCTCTAAATGCTGAGAGGAACTTTTTTAATTACAAAAGAAAGTTTGGAGTCCAGGCTGGTAATTTCTAGTGAATATATTCACTTTTTTAAAGGCAAAAATCTGCCCTTTATACACTTGCTTCAAAATTGGGTCCCCACATGCTGTGGTTTCGGTTCGTTAATTTGAGATTTTACGAATTTTAAGATTCAATTTAATTTTAATTAATTTAATTTCAAGATTTAAGATGTAATCTTCACTAGATTTCCTCCTATCCTAAACCATGACATCGCATTAACAGGTCTATTGTTTTTGTTGGTGACTTTTTGAAATTTATGGGACTTCTTAAAAAAAAAACAAAACAAAAAAATAAAAATAAAAAGAAAAACCACACCACCAAAAGCAGGGAGATCTGTGAGAAGCTCAGTGTAAAATGGGATTTTGAATGAGGAGGGAGCTCAGGTTGGTGCTGCTGAGGAGGGTGCTGATGTTGGTTTTGCTTCTGCAGGCTGAGTATGAGGAGAAAATCGAGCTGGTGAAGAATGGAGCCAGGAACTGCCTCAGCAAAGTGGAAATTGTGGATTTTCCTTGGCCTCAGGGGCTCGTTGTGAGTATCCCACGTCCCCCAGCAGCTCCAGGGCACGTCCCTTGGGGTGGCAGCCGTGGTGGGAGGTGCCAGGAGAGCTGGAATTGCAGCCTGGGACACACCAAACTCTGCCTGCAGCTCCAGGGGAAAAGGGGATGGAGATGGAGCTGGGGGAGCAGCACATTCCCAGCTCCTGTGAGAGGCTCGAGCTCTTTAGAGCTGGAAGTGACTCACTGAGAGCACCAAAATCCTGGAATTTCAGGATGGTTTGGGTTGGAAGGGACCCTAAAGATCATCCAGTTCCAACCCTGACACATTCCACTGTCCCAGGCTGCTCCAAACCCGTGTCCAGCCTGGCCTTGGCACTACCAGGGATCCAGGGGCATCCCCACCCTCCCAGGGGACAATTCCTGCCCAACATCCCATCCAGCCCTGCCCTCCTTCAGCTCAAGGGCATTCCCTGTGTCCTGGCACTCCATCCCTTGTTCCAAGTCTGTCCCCAGCTCTCCTGGAGCTTCTTTAGGCACTGGAAGGGCCTCTCTGAACCTTCTCCAGGTTGAACAGCCCCAAAATCATTGGGATAAGCTCCATTATCCCAATCTCAGAATCCCTGGGGCTGGAAAAGCCCTCCCAGCCCAGGGAGTCCCAGCTGGGCCCACCTTGTCCCCAGCCCAGAGCACTCAGTGCCACCTCCAGGGGACACCTGCAGGGATGGGCACTCCAAACCCCCCTGGGCAGCTCCTGAGCTCCCTTTCCATGGGGAAACTTTCCCAGAGGAATTCCTGGAACAATGTGTGTCACTGACTGCAAACACCAAGCTCAGCTGCCAGCCAGGGGTGTCAGGAAGGAGGTGGAGCAGAGCCATTTGTGGGAATAAGAACAGCCCAGAAATCCTGTCACAGATGTTTCCTCATGGCCCAACAGCTCCACCAATGCTTTGCTCAAATCACAGCAGTTTCGTCTCACTCCTGTGATTGGTCTTTTTTAAGGGTTTTTTTTTTTTTTCTCTGTTGGAATCTTGGTTTGTATTTTGGTTTTTGTTTTTATTTTTTTTTTTCTGTGGGTGTGATTTAGATTCAGGGCTCTGGTCTAATATTGACACTTTTTCTGGTCTTCTGCAAGTTCCACTCCTGTTCTCCTGCCTATTTCCCCAGTTATTTTTAGGAGGTCTGTCCTTTCCATTTATTGACACAGAATATGGAGATAATTTAATCACCACCAATTTATTGAGAAAGAGCAGCTTTTGTGCCTCTTGTTCTGCATTTGGAATTGATTTTTTTTTTTCTGCATTAAGACCAGAGTGACCTTTTAGAAGAGAAATAACCATGAGGTCAAACAACTGCCCTGATGTAAGGGAGTTTTTCAGATAAACTGATGCCACCTTTGAGATCCTGGGCACAGCCACACCTGTCACAATTCCCACTGCAAATGCTGAATCTATTTTAATCACTGTTTCCTGTGAAATGTGTTTGTTTCCTAGACAATGCCAGGCAGACCTTCCGTGTGTGACCCTGCCATTGTCACCTATTCCTTGGCACCTGCACATCCCAGTGCCCTTCCTGCATTTTCCAGTTCTGATGGAAAAGCTCCAGCACAGACCAGAGCTAAGCCTGCACCTGCCACCTCTGAGGCTTCTTCTGCAGCTGGCAAAACACATCCCAAAGCTCCAGAGGGGTCACATTCCAATAAAATCTCACCATCCTGCCCATCAGGCATTTCTGGAAATAACTCCCAGCATGTCCAGCCCAACCTGACCCACCAAGATCCCTCAGCTCTGCAGCCGAGGCCTTCTGGAATTCCAAACAACAAAAAGCTTCAAAAAAGAAATGAAAATATTTTTGCCCGGCTCCAGAGTATATTCCCAAATTACAGCAGGTACTGGATTGAAGGAGTGCTGTGAAACAAGGTCTGAACAGCCAGGGATGAAAGAAAGGGATGAAGGAATTGATTTTGTTCTGCTGACAGGGATGGAGGAACAGGACAAAGAGGAATGGGTTTAAACTGCTGGAGGGCAGAGTTACATGGGATTTTGGGAATTGGGAGTTGTTCCCTGGCAGGGTGGGCAGGGCTGGGATGGAATTCCCAGAGCAGCTGTGGCTGCCCCTGGATCCCAGCCTGGGACAGTGGAAGGTGTCCCTGCCATGGCAGGGGCTGGAATGAGATCAGCTTTCAGGTCTCTTCCAGCCCAACCCCTTCCATGATTCTGGTGATGGGTGAGGAGTTTCATCCTGGAGAGTCACTGGAAAAGCTGGTTCCTGTGGTCCTGCTGGGATCCAGCAGGGAGCCTGCAGTGCTCTCCAGGGCCAGCCCTGACCCTGCCTTTCCTGTCCCTGCAGCTCAGAGCTCGTTGCCTCCATCAGGGAGGTGCAGAGGAGAAATGGGACCAGCGTGGCCACCCTGAGCCCGGATGAAATCCTCAGCCAGGCCACGGAGCTCATCCTGGAGCAGCAGCACAAGGTACTGGGGCTGCAGCTGCTCCTCTTCCTCCTCCCCTGGGAGATGGAGCAGCACAGCCCCAAGAACACAGTTCCTTTCTGCTCCCTGTGCAGGCAGCACCTCCAGCAGGCAGAGCCCTGCAGTCCCTTGGCTCTGCCCAGGCAGCGCCCGGCCCCAAAACCTCCTCCAGTAAAAACCCCTCTCAGCCAAACCTGCAGCCCTGGGGAAATGCTGCACCTAAAGCCAAATGGACAAAGCAGGACAGTGCTGTAAGTTTTCTGTTTCAGTGCAGTTGTTGCCATGTGCTTTGTACAAGACACGAAATAATCCTGGAGAAAAAAAAAATAATTGCCTCGTTTATTTTGTGTACAAAAGCTTCAGTAGACTTGGTTAAAGTTAGTGACCTTGTTAATGGTGTAGAATGTGCTGGTTAGTTGCTGATTTTTAAATAACTGGGTGTTCCTTTCCTGGCCAGGCCTGCAGTGAGGATCCCTGTGCCATCTGTCACGATGAGCTGAGCACAGACTGCTGTGAGCTCGAGTGTGGCCATCACTTCCACAAAGACGTGAGTTCTGCTCTTGTTCCTCATCTCCACCTCAAGAACAACCCCTTTACCCTCCCCTTGCCCTTCAGGGCTTAAACAACAGGGCACCATTTCCTTTCCCAGCCTTTGCCCCCCAAACTTGACCCACAGCCAGCCTGCCAGAAAGCTTTAGGTATTTTTAAAGTAAAATGATTCATCAGAGTGCATTTCAGGTGATTCTTCAGAGAATGAATTTGGCTGGGATTGCTGGCAGCACACTGGGGGAATGGGTTATCCCTGAAAACTCTGTATTTGCCTCCTGATAGTAGAAATTCATGAAGTAAAAAAGCCAGGATTGTGTTGGACTAGCTCCATTTCTCCCTTTACCTTTTTCATTTAAATGCTGATTTGTCCTCGCAGAATAAATTTGGTTAGAGCAGGAGAACAGCTCTGCACCCCCAAATTTCAGGGGTGGAGAACTTGTTGAAGAGCTTCCCCATTAGTGGCAATAATTTTCAGCCTCCAGCTGGACTCCTGTTGCCCAGTTTTGCCTGTCACCCTCTCCTGTCCCCACAGTGCATCCGGATGTGGCTGAAGCAGCATTCCAGCACCTGCCCCATCTGCCGTGTCCACGCTCTGCTTCCCGAGGACTTCCCCGAGCTTCCTGCCTGGAACAAGTACAGCTGAGCCTCTTTTACTCCTGCTCTTCTCCCACACTTCAGAATTCAAGATGAAAAGGGGCTGCAGCACAACCCCAGTGCTGGGGACAGGACAGAACCCTGGGTTTATTGGCTATGGAAACAAACCTGGGATTTGACTCCAAGATCCAGGATTTCTCCTGGTTCCTGCCTAAAGCTGTGCAGTTCAGGGCTGGCAGCACACAAAACTGATGGATTTTTGGCTAAGGGACATTGAAAATACCAAATTCTTTTACCTGAAAGTCCACTTGATAATTCCTTTGAGGAGGGGGCTTTTCCCTCAGATTTATTCCAAGATCAAGCAAGTAGGTGACCCTACTTTTGGAAATGAAGACGTTCCCTTCCTCTGGCATAAACAATCCAGGATTCAAGCCTGGTGTGGTCTTGGCAGCTCATCTCTGTGCATAAATCCACAGCTGAGAACTCAAATTGTTTAAATAATGACTTTAAATCACATTTTGAAGTAAGAATTTTAAATTATTCATATGAATTAATTCTTTAATCTAAAAATAAGGTTGAAATTTGAATTTCCCCCTTGTTGAAGAGCTGGTCTGTTTAAATGGGAAGGATTTTTTAAAAGGATTTTTGGAAGGATTTTTAAGCCACACTTCCTCTGTATTTTGTGCAGGAATGGTCACCAGTAGCAGGAGGGGCAGAATTCCAACAGCTCAAGGAATTTTCTCCCACTGTTTTCCGAGTCTGAAGTGGACAGAGCACCTTCAACACAGACAAATTTGTCCCACACAGCCAAAAGGTGAGGACCAGAGCCTGAGAATCTTAAAATGAAACTCAAATATTCTGTTGTCTGAATCCAGGGAGCAGCACATGGATTAGGAGCCCTTGGCTAATTCCAGGGATCACTTGTTCCCCACCCTGCTACATCTCCTGAAGCTGAAGTTTTAAACTCTTCTCTCATTAATGAGTGTATTAATTACCACTTGAATAAAAAACAAAATTACTGCTACAGCCAAACACATTGTTTTTGTGTAGTTTTTCTGCTCACTCTGGGTTAGGAGTGAGTAACTACTCTGCTGTAGAATTAAGGCCTAAAAATTCCAGCACTGAAATCCTTTTCAGCTTTCAGTAGTTTTGGGGGGGGCTGCAGCTCTTCCCCAAATCCCACTGTACCATCCCTGGTCTCAGGGAAAAGTAAATTTCACTAAATAGTACATTTCAGTAAATAGTATTTTCCTGCCCCTTCCCAGACATTGGAAATGAAAATTTCAGCTTTTTCTTCCTGAAACACCAGGGCCCAAACTGGAATTACATTCTCCTGCTTGGCAATGCTGCTGGAGAAACCAAAGGAAATTATTTTTCTTAGTTTTCTTCATTGTGCCTTTTTAGGTGCTCATCTTTACACTTCCAATTTCCATAATACAGACTGAGCCTGCCTCTACCCCACATGGAAAATTAATGGCAAATCCACAAGTTGTGGCTGTTCCATGAAAACAACATGAAAATCCACAAGCTGTTTGTGTTGGGAAGGTTATTTCTTACTGAATTACTTTTCCTTTAAGCTGTGCACTCACACACACATTAATTAACTCCTCCAACACCAACTCCTGTTCCAAATTTGACCAAAATTTCCTTGGTGTGATTTGAAATCACTCATTTCCCATCCACCTTGGGACAGATCCCACAGCACCCTCTTCCAGAGTTGTAGCACCATTTTTTAGGCCTTCAAAGACCTTATTTCTGTCACAATTCCCAGTATGGCTGTGTTGGGACTTATGAGTTTTAAGGGGTCTTCAAAGGACTTTGGAACAAATATTGCAAAATTAAATCAAGAGAGAAACTTGCTACATACTTCTACAAGCTGTAGGAAGCTACAGAATGATTCCTTCAGGATTTGCCTGAGAAAAATTGGGAAAAAACATGGCTGTTTTAGGCAGCAGGATTGGGGAATGCAGAGAGGCAAAGTCTTGGCCAGGTTAACAGGGAAGTGGACCACAGGAAGAAGGAAGTGAGGTGGCTCCAGCTGAAGTCAGGCATGGATAAAGTTCCACTTGCCCTCTGAGGAATTCCCAGAAAATCCTTCCCTGCTTCTCCTGTGGATGTTCACATCCTGCAGAGCTTCAGGGGGAAGTTCTCTGTGATGAGATGGTCGTCGTGCAGGAGGACCACGATGTTCACTTCAAACTCTGGGAGAAGGGGAAAAAGAGAGAGAATTCCATGGGAACCTGAATCCTATAAACAATCCTGCTTGAATTCCACAGGTAAAGCTGAATCCTATAAACAATCCTGCTTGAATTCCACAGGTAAAGCTGAATCCTATAAACAATCCTGCTTGAATTCCACAGGAAAGCTGAATCCTATAAACAATCCTGCTTGAATTCCACAGGAAAGCTGAATCCTATAAACAATCCTGCTTGAATTCCACAGGAAAGCTGAATCCTGCAGCAATCCTGTTTTAATTGCACAGGAAAGCTGAATCCTGCAGCAGCATGAGGAAGGAGCTCCTGTAACATTCCAGGCAGAACCTCATCCAGGCATCCCAGCCCTTGGAACATTCCAAGAAAATCTTGCTTTGTTGTAATCTTATGGGATTCCTCTGGATTGTTTTATCACTGATAAATTATGGCAAAAAATCCTCTGGAAAAGATTTCAGACATCAAAGAAAAAAATGTTTTGGGGAAGACACCTCCACCAAGATGGTGTTTAAAGCATGGAATGGGAGAATTCCAGGACAGACCCATTGCTGTTTCCAGCATGTAACAGCCTTGGGAAATGAAATACTGGAATATAACAGGCCTGCAAACTGGAGAACAAAAGTTCCAGAAAAAAATCTGTTCTTAGATACTACGTTGTGTCATTCAAAGCCAAAAATCAGTATCAGATCAATAATCAATCCTAAATGGAGCCAGAACAAAAAGCCAGGCAGAGTTAATAAATAAAGGGAATCAGAAATCAAAATAAATTCAAATTCTCATTGTAAATTGCTACTGAAGAGCTTAAAATGGCAAAAAAAAAAAAGAATATTATTATTTTGGGGAAAACCATTCCACACAGATTCTATGCCAACAGATTCCAGCAGGATGAGGGGAAGAAATACAAACCAGCCAAGTGGATTCTTGCAGTTCTTTTTTGATCAAGTGAGGAAAATCCTGGTTTTGTTAATAAAAATACTGGATTTTGACAACAATCAGCAGGGAGGAGCATGTGGTGTGGGTAAGTCACACCATGACCAACCTTGCTGCTTGTAGGGCTTTCAGCAGGAGAGTGGGAAACAAAAAGGAGAAGAAATGGAAAGGGGGCTTGTCACTGGTGAGGAAAAGAAGGAATTTTATTCCTGGACTATTTCTCAAGTGTTCATCACATGCCCTGCACTCCACTGCTCCTCCTGTCCCTCATGGAATTGTATCAGGAGTAGCTTGGTGGCTGCACAGCTCTTTGTGCTGTGTTCTCTCAGTCTGAAATGCAGCAGGATTCAGGCTCAGGGAAGCACAGGGATCTCCTGGGCTCCTCCTGCAGCTCTGCTGGATTTACCCCCTCACCTGCCCACGGAAAGGGAATGAAGGTGGCCACTCCTGTCCCAGGAAATGCCTCCCCACTCACCCACTTTGAAGTTGGTTGTTTCCAGGGTGGGGCAGGTGAAGAGCCTGGGGAACACCATGTGGATGGGGATGGGGAGGCCCCTGCAGACGTCGCCCTCGGCGATCTGGATGTTCTGGATCTCTGTGGCATCCCTGGCGTAGCCCTCAGCACACCCTGGGCAAGAGGGAAGTGGGAGGAGATGAGAGAAAGCAGCAGCCAAAATTTACCATGGAGATACGCTGGAGTCCTGGCTGCTGAGAATTTGGGACTTTCTGTGCTGCCAGCACTGACCCCCAGGAGAACACTGCACTGACCTGAGGCCGTGGAGAAGCTTCCAAAATTCAATAATAAAACTGAGATTACAGGTGTGGAGTTTGAATGGAAGTGTGTGATATCACAGGGTGGGAAACTCAGAGTTGAAGGGTTTAGAATGCAGGAATAGATATAAAGCAAGATGGAGGTTTTAGGGTGGAGGTTGCTCCTTCTCCTTCACCTCCTCCATGAGTTTGGGTGGTTTTGTGCAATTGGATAAAAAAGTCCCCATTGCAGAATTTGAGTGACCAGTTATTGGGTTAAAAGTGAAAATAGTTGAAGTGTCATTTCTTAATTGGACAGTTTATCCTTAAAAGACCTTGTAGGGGGAGATAGTTGGCCATTTTGTGCTTTGTTAGTGAAATACTGCAGAACTCACTGCTGTGAGACCGTAACACAGGTAAGAAATAATAAACACCTGAGTCTGAACGTGAACTATCACCTTGAGTGCTTCAATCCTGACCTTGACAGAGGCAGGAGAAAGAAGCCAAGAACCAGCAGAGATTCACCAGAATAAGGAGGGAAAATCCCTGCAAGTTTTCACAGAGTAAAAGATCACAGAAATAAGTTATCATCGGAGCTGTTCCTCCAAAGTGCAAACCCTGCAAGGCCTCAGTGCTCTCTGGCCTCGCCTTCATGCTGCTCCCTGTTTCCCTGGGAAGGGATGGAGGGAATTCCTGCAGGCTGCTGCCAGCCAGGGGCTCACCACAGGTCTCCACCCGCACCAGCTGCAGCTCGATGCTCTTGACGGCCGCCTCGGCGCTCTCCACCACCAACTCCCCTGTCAGCGGCTGCGTGATCACACAGTTGGTGGAGTTCAGGTGCCCTCGGATCAGGAACTTGGGGAGGGAGGCTCTCTGAAAAAGAGGAGAAAAAGATGGCACTGTGAAGAGCAGACTAAGGAAAGAAAAAAAATCTTAAGTAGGAAGTTGCACAAAAAGTCCGAAGTTGAGAACTCAAGAGTTCAGAAATTCCTCACGTAGCTTAAATTTCTTTCCGTCACTCTGTATCAGGATTTCTCCTACAATATTCTCCCTTGCCGTGTGTCCTTCCTCCTCCTCCACCCAGCCCATGGATGGGCATTTCCTGGGCAGAAGTGACAGAACTTGGCTGTTAGAATTCCTCCAGGAGCTGGAACCGTGTGGTGAAGGAGGTGGGGACACCTTCCACTGTGCCAGGCTGCTCCAGCCCCAGTGTCCAACCTGGCCTTGGGCACTGCCAGGGATCCAGGGGCACCCACAGCTGCTCTGGGAATCCATCCCAGCCCTGCCCACCCTCCCAGGAACAATTCCTTCCCAAAATCCCATCTGAGAATTCCCAAAGCTGTAAAAAAAGGCATAACCAAGGCTCAAAACACATTTTTTTAAAGGCTCTTGGCTGTCCATGGTACAGAATGTTTTTCCTTGCTCCATTGCCATTTTTCACTCAGGAAAGGAATATTTAACTACTTTTAAATATTTTTAAAACATCTAACTACTCCTGAGCAAAGCTCCACCTTCAGTGGTCACCACAGTGCAAGGGATGAGGCAAAATCACTTGATTGCTTATAAAGGTGAAAAATAAAATGGAAAAACAAAACCAAGATAATCTGCTTGATAATCTACAAGGCAGAATTTAGTCACTCCTCTGGTCTCACTCAGAAACACAGAAACTTTACCTTCAAAATAAAATAATATGAAAATCCTTTTACCTCTTTAACATTCTGCAGAGTTTCAGGAGTAATGGTGAAGTCCACAGGGCTCGGCAGCAGCTTCCCTTTCTGTGACTGCAGGGAATGGAAGGGTTAAACTGAAATCTGATCCCCAAAAACCAGAATATTAAAAACCACAACAACTGGCTGCCCAAAACCACCTGGAACAGCAAGAATACCCTCCCCATGTGAAGCAGAGAGGAAAAAAAAGTATAAATAAATTCATTGTATATGAATTTTGGAATGTTTCTGTTCATTATTAAATTTGGGGAGCAGGGAATCTAAATGAACTTGTGTCCATTGCTTCAAATCTGCTTTATAAATTCTTCTGTCCACCAGCAAGGGGCTGATTTGGAACTCTGAGTGAGGACCTGCCCTCACTGCTCAAAAATTCAAAATAGCTGCTGCTGCCCAGCTGCAAGATGGAAGAGATTAGCAAAAGACTGGCTGCATTTTCCCAAAATGACAAATTCTGGCACAGAATAAGCTGAAGGGAAATGGTACATTGAGCACTGACAGTGAGAATTATATGTTCAGTAAAACCTCATTAATTCACCCTGAGAGATTCATGATTTACTGACTGGTGAGCTCAGAAGTGCTGTAGTGGGAACAAGAAATAAACCCAGGAAAACTGCAGGAGATGTGATTTGTCACTCCTCTGACAAGTGTGGCTCACTCATAAATGTAATAATGGACCAATAAAATGCAGCATCAGATATTGCAGAAAGTATTGAAATCTTACCAACAGGAAACTTGGAAACACCAAACTACATCTTTTAAAAAGTTACTTTAGAACTAAAATAACATTTTCACCACAAGACCTGTAACACAAAGGATTTTGTTATTTACTGTCCTGTTAAAGAGTTCAAAGGAATGACAGAAGGAAGGTGTTCCAGCAAGTTATAGGGGGAAAAAGGGACTTTTCTTCATCTCTGGCCCGTCCTCAGCTGCTGTGGGCAGCACAGCTCAATCTAAACCAACCCCAAATCCAACACAAGAACTTCTGTAAGAACCAGCAAAGCATCTTCTGGGAGTCCAACCTCCTGCCACGAAGATTAGGATTAGAAACAGGGATTAGAAATTCTAGAATTAGAATTGTTTCCCTTGCAGGGGTGGTCTGGCACTGGAATGAGTTGCTCAGGGAGGTGCTGGAGTCTCTGAGCCTGGATTTGGGACATGGTTTGGGGTGAGGATGGGACTGGGTCATCCTGAAGGTCTCTCCCACCATCCCACAATGATTTCCACCTTGATACAGACCCAGCTGTGATAGTTTGGAGTCAGGGCTCTGTATCAGAACTCCTGAAGAACAGAAATCAGGGATTTTCACCACCCAACTCCCATTTCCAGGACTGTGGGAGCCTAGAACCTTCGGCTGAGAACTGCTGGGATAATTCAAAACAGTGTTTGGAACAATGACATCATATTTATGTGACCACCCATTGTCTCAGAACTTCAAGGATGAATAAGAGAATAAACTCAAGGCACTAAAAACATCTGAAAATCCAACTCCTCTTTGTCCTATAACAGAGGGATGGATTTTTCTAAGCAGAAGCAACAGCTTTTTGGGGTGTTTTTGTTTTCCTTTACTCCTAAATTTTGGACAAAGGTTTCAGACACAGGGTAGGATTTTGGGGTGTCCTGTGCAGGGCCAGGAGCTGGGTTTGATGATTTTTGAGGTCTCTTCCAACTCAGGATATTCTGAATCTACACTTTTGTAACCCCTCGTGTCACTATCACAATTTCCATGGGTTTATTTGTGGGTTTTTTTCTCCCCTTAAAATGAAGTGGGGAGAAAAAAAATCAATTAAAAATATTAATTAACTGCAAAATGACCAGAAACCACACTCACCAGGGAGTGGACAATGAACTCACAAGTCTTGGTCAGGTCCTTTGCCAGCAGGGAACGTCTCATGTCACAGCGCAGGGTGTACTGGGGGAAGGGGATGAAAAAAGGGAAAAAAATAAAAGTTTAATTCAGATTTCCTCCCTCCTTCCCAACTTTTCACCTCCCTTCTGCCTCTGTGCAGAGAGTTGTTCCTGTTATATCCAGTTAAAGGTGATTTTCCACCCTGTTTTGGTTAAGGAATTATCAGTGTGATATTTTTGTATTTCTGTATTTTTGTCTTCAGCCCCTCTAATTTTGGTTTTATTGTGGGATTGAATTCACAGTTCTTGGGATATTTCATGGGGAACTTCAGCCACACAGCTGAGCTCAAAGCAGCACTAAAATCAGGCAAGGAAGTGAATTTGCTTCCAATTTGCTCCCCTAAAATGGGAGCCACAAACCAGTGGATGAAAAATAATAAGAATTTGGTTATCCCAGAAATCCTACACTTCAGCATCTCCAACAAAGCCCCTCAGTGTCCTTACAGGACACAGAACCTGTTGGGGTTTTGTTTTGTTTGATTTTTAATTCCTCCCTCAGACCAGGGATTTGGGTTCCTCACTTTTGGTTCATGGCCACAACCCTCCAGCAGTGTCTGATTAAAGGTTTCTGCATCAGAACAGAGACTGGAACCCACAATTAATCCCTAAATCAAGACAGAGAGGCTCAATTAAACTGCCCAGAGGTTTGGAAGTGTCCCTTAACCAGCACCTCAGTGTCACAATTCCCTCTGCAGGAGAGCAGGACAGTCAAAGTTTGGCTGAAATTTGAATTATTAAATCTTAATGGTATTTTACTCAAGAAAAGCTCCACAGAGGAGAGAAGGAATGACAAAATAAAACAAATATTCCTCATTAAAGTGCAGCTCAGACTGACTGACTGATCACAGCAAGTTATTTGGGGTATGGGAAGCTGCACCATTTTTGACATCCCCACCACAAACAACAGCTGTTACATGAGGGAAGAAGCCAACACTGAGCAAATAAATGGAAAGGATTTTAAAAACATCCAAACAGACAAAAAACAAGGGATTTTTTTTTCTTTTAGTTACCTCTGATAGGCTGCTGAGGGGGTGATTTGGTTTATTAGGTTGTTTTTGTTTTTTTCATTCCAGTGACATCAAACTTCATTGTCTAACACAGAATTTACCTTCAAGAGATGGCTGAAGAAAGACTTGCCCCCTAAAAAAACCACCAAACCACCAAAAACTGCCCAAACAAACCAACCCACCTATAATAAGGCAATTTTTAACCAAAAAAGATCAAATTTCCAAACTGTATTTCCACAAGACTGTGTCCAAGCAAATATTCCACACAGATCTTCGCAGGGAATGTTACTCCTCCTCACCCCAGCAAAACAAACAATTCCTATTTGCTCTCAACACCTGGAGTTTTCATTATGGAATTACACATTTATTTGGAATACAACCACACTGTGGTGCTGGTTTGTTTGTTGGTTTTTTTTTTCAAGAAGGGAATGGAAACAGTTTCCTACAACATCAGGATGGATCAAATTTAGGTTACAGATGTTTTGCTGAGGTATTTCAGGTAAAACATCTTGTTTGTGCCATCATTCCTTAAAGATTTATTGCATAAAGGGTGGAAGGCTCAGTCAGAGTGAAAACACCATCAAACTTCATCCTCAATTTCCATGGATTAAGAGCTGCTTCAGAAGACACTGTGCAGATGAAATTTCCCATTTTCTCTCCAGACAGGACCTCCTCACCTGGATATTGACAAAGACTCCGTGGTATGTCTCATACAGAACTTTGTTGCCCTTCATTTGCAGTGGGAATTCAAAGGGAATTTCTGTCTTGCCACTGGGGAGCTTCCCTGGTTTCACCATTTCAATGGTGCTGTTGATAATCTGAATAGGCTGCAAGGATAAATATCAAAGAGTTTTAGGCTGAAACAGAGAACCAACACCACCTAAACTCTACCAGAATTCCTGGACTTCCAGAATCCCAGGGACCTCTTCAGGACACACAGTGCTGGGATGTTTTTTTATAATAGAAAGAAACATTAATATTTTGCTCAAGAAAACCATTTCTCTTTTAAGGGTGCATCACATTAAGGACCAAAGATATTCAGGAGCAGCTCCAGCTTTGGGAAGTGGAGCTTCTTTTCCTAAATTACGACCTCAACATCAGCAGGAATGACCAAGGCCACTGAGCCATCCCCTCTGAGCTCTACAGCTGATTCTTATTTAGGGGAGGTCTCTCACTGCAGTGAGGGTTAACTGTGGGGAGGTGACCTGGACATTTCTTTTCTCTCTGCAGTTTTGCCATTATTGTCCCCAACTCTTGGGCTTCCAACACAAGAAAGAAGTGGAGCTGTTGGGTGAGTCCAGAAGAAGCCATTTAACTGATCCCAGGGCTGGAGCCAGGCTGGCAGAGCTGGGAATGTTCAACCTGGAGAGGAGAAGCTCCAGGCAGAGCTCAGAGCCCTGCCAGGGCCTGGAGGATCTCCAGGAGAGCTGCAGAGGGACTGGGGACAAGGATGGAGGGACAGGAGCCAGGGAATAGCTCCCAGTGCCAGAGGGCAGGGCTGGGTGGGAGATTGGGAATTGTTCCCTGGCAGGGTGGGCAGGGCTGGGATGGAATTCCCAGATTCCCCTGGATCCTTGGCAGTGCCCAAGGCCAGGTTGGATTTGGGGCCGGAGCAGCCTGGGACAGTGGGAGGTGTCCCTGCCATGGCAGGGGTGGCACTGGGTGATTTTTAAGGTCTCACCTGGAACTTTCTGTGAGGAACTTTCCTCACTTAACCAGATGTTCTCCAGATGGAGCTGCCTGCAGGCAGAGCCAGCCCTGCTCCCACCAGCTCAGCCCTGTCCCTGGAGAAGCTGCCCTGCTGGGATCCAACCCCAGGGAGCAGCACAGAGCCCTCCCAGGAGCTTCACAGGTCCCATTCTCCCCAGAGCAATCTGGCAACTCCTGTCTCATGCCCAGGAACCCCTTCATGGCCTCCACAGACCTCACAGGGACTGATCTGGCACAAAAGTCCAGTTAAACCCAGTCACTTCAACAAAAATAAAGCAGCATCACACAATAATTAATTTTCTTTAAATCACAGCCCTTCAGTGCATCATCCAGTAACCCTTTTTACCTATTCATGGCAGTGTATTTTGGCCTGAAGGAAAATTTTCCCATCAGTGTGTGTTACTTCCCCAGAATGTCCTTACATATCCCTCCCTGGGGATATTCCAGAGTTTTCTGGACACAGCCCTGTGCCCTGGGATGGCCCTACTGGAGCAGGGAGGTGGCACCAGTGACCCTCTGTGGTCCCTTCCAGCCTGACCCATCTTGGGATTTCCCTGCTTTCCATCACTTCCACACCATGAGCAGCTCTGACCATCTGAGAGCCTTTAAGGAAAGGTTTCGTTTGAGAAAATAGAGTTTTTTTGTGCTAAAAACAGTCACCTGAGCAGGCCTTACCTTGGCAGTGTTGCAGAAGGCCTCAAATACACCCACATTTTTGGCACTGAGCTGCAGATTCACTGAGCCCTCCATGGTTAAGGAGATCCCCTGGTGCTGCACTGCATCCTTACTGGTTATGACCACCACTCCAGAAAGAATTTCCTAGGAGGAAAGAGGAAAACATTTGTTTAAATCCATTTTTTCATAGCTGTTATCTGAACAGCCTGGAACTGATCTCCAAAGTCAAAAAAAATCCTGTTCACAAATGGTGTAGCCTTGTCAGGACAGACAAACACTAATGAAGGGATTTAGGATGAGACAGAGAACCAACAACACCTAAACTCTACCAGAATTCCTGAATTTCCAGAATCCTGGGGCTCAGGATCAGAATCCCAAGCTCAGGATGAGAGCTCTGCACTTTTGGTTTTTCCTCAAAAATACCATCCTCCTCTTGGCTGAAGTATAAACCTGAGCTTCAACTTCTTCCCAAAGTTTCAAGATTTTCTGTCCAGGAAGATGAAAAACCCTCCTTTTGGGCCAGCTGGTAATAGCCAAGTTCTGTTTGTGTTGGAAAAAACTGCCAGGAAGAACTGCTGTCTGAAAATTGGGATGGTCAGCCACGGGAGAGGGAAGAGAAGGCACAACTGGAAAAGGGATGGCCAAGCTGACGGTGAGATTCACCTCAAGAGTGGAGCAGAAGAGATTTAAAATACCGAAAATGAACACAAAGCAACAGTTTTGAAGTGAATCTGAAAGAAAGGCAGGAGTTGTGTGACTCCAGGGATGTTGTCACTCATCCCACAAAGGATGTGCTGTCCACAAAATATCCTTTGCACAAAAGTGCTGCATCCCCAAAGTGTCAGCTGAGTCTTTTTAACACTGAAAAACTGGTGAGCAGCAGGAGAGCAGCTCCATGGTTTATCCATCCCTTCTCCCACACTGCAGAATCTCCCTCAATCCTGAAATATTTCCAGCTGGAAAAGGCAGCAGGTGACTGAGAACTGGGGAGTTTTATGGGAATAAAGCTCCTCTCCTGATCCTTCCCAAGGCAAACTGGCCCCAAGGAACAGCTCCCTCCAGCCATGGGACAGTCCCAGCTGCCCACTCTGCACCTGACCACTTCAAACCAGGATCTCTCCAGCAGAAGGGGAATTTTGGCAGGTTTTTGTCTTTCCTGGTGGTACAGGATGGCAAAAATGGGTCAGGAGGGATGAGGTAGCAGGAAAACATCCACATCCAAGCAAAGGTGACATCCTGAGAGCCTGGGAAGAGGAACTGCAGCAGGAGAAGTGGGAAACGCTGGAACAGGAGCACAAAGGGACAGCAAAGAAAAGCTGACCTAAATTCTGCACTGCTCTGCTAAGGGGCCCTAATTAGCACAAGCAATTAGGTTATTGCTTTAAAAAATGAGTCCAGCTCAACTCTGAGAAGCAAGGACAACCCTGAACATGTGAACTGCTTTAACAAAGGAGATGTTTCCTGTCACACAGCAACAACTCATTCCAGAGCTGCTGTCTGCACATGGGAAGGGGGCACGGCCTGGGAGCAGGAAAGGGAAGCATGAGTGGAAGCTAAATATCAATTTGTCTTTTGATATGTCTTCAGAAATGCAAAAAAAAAAAACAGCTCAAAATTCTGCCCCTGTGTCCTGCTCAGGTGAGATCCCACCTGCAGAGCTGCCCCAGCCCTGTCCCAGCCCAGGAGGAGCTGGAGCTGCTGCAGAGAGCCCAGAGGAGGCTCCAGGATGAGCAGAGGGATGGAGCAGCTCTGCTGGGAGGAAAGGCTGGCACAGCTGGGATTGTTCCCCTGCACAGGAGAAGCTTTGGGCTGAGCTCAGGGTGGCCTTGCAGGGCCTGGAGGAGCCCCAGGAAACCTGGAGAGAGACAATTTCCAGGGCATGGAGGGACAGGACACAGGGAATGGCTTCAAAGTGAGAAATTACAGGTTTAGATCAGATATTAGGAAAAGATCCTTCCCTGGGAGGGTGGGCAGGGGCTGGGATGGAATTCCCAGATTCCCCTGGATCCCTGGCAGTGCCCAAGGCCAGGTTGGACACTGGGGCTGGAGCAGCCTGGGACAGTGGGAGGTGTCCCCATGGCAGGGGTGGCACTGGGTGGGATTTGAGGTCCCTTCCATGCCTAATTCCAGGTTTGCATCTCCTTTCTCCCGCTAGGAGATTCCTACTAAAAATCCATGTTGAATCCCTTGTGTAGAGCTCTTCCATCGCTGTGTTTTCATCCCAGACTTACAGATTCCAGGCCCAGTTAATGAACTAAAATTACAAACCTTTCCACATGGAGTTAAAGTGGAAGGTAAAAAGAAAATTGGCAGATTGACTAACCAGAAATACCCTAATTTCAGCTTAAAACAGAGAGAATATTCCTTTCCATACCCAAAAAAAATCCATTTAAAAGTGATATAAAGCAAGTACAGTTTAGTCAAATTGAAAATGGATACAGCACTGAGAACCTGAGATAAATAAAGAAAATCCTAAAAATTTTTAACTTTATAATGCACAAAATGATGTGAAAGTGAAACAGTATTTACCCCTCTGGAGTCATTCCTAAATGGAATAATTCAGCTCTGCCAAAGCCATTCTCTAGATAATCTGACAATTTTAGGACAGATGCTGCATGCCCTTCCTTTCAAATCCAGTTTTCCAGGATTAAAATCATGCAATAAAAGGAATTCTGATGGATGGAAAGGACTTTTAGGATACAAGTGCAAGAAAAAAGAGACACCTGAACATTTCTGCCGAGCAACTCGGGATTTCTAGGTAAAAAGTGATTAAAAATTTAAAATATTCCTTCTCTTTCAAGCCACATCGGCCTCTGCTGAGCTGGGTCAGGGTCTTCCCGCGGCACCCAGGAAGTGGGGAAGGACAAAAAGCACCACTCAGTCCTAAAAGCAATGCCCAAAATCCCGGAGCTGAGCAGCGGGAAGCCGAGCCGAGATTGGAACAGCCCCGGGCAGGGACGGGGGAAGAGCTGGGAGAGGGGAAAAGCTCCAGGGAAGG